CTCTCTCTCTCTCTCTCTGTCTGTCTCTCTCTCTCTTACTTATTCTCTCATAGTTCTGGAAACCAGAAGTCCAAACTCAAGGTGTTGGCAAGGGCTTAGCTCCCTCTGGAGGCTCCGTGAGAGAATTAAGTTAGTGCTTCTTCCAGTTTCTTGTTGCTGCCAGCATTCCTTGATTCCTTGACATTCCTTGGGTTGCAGTCATGTTTCTCCGTTCTCTGCCTCAACTTTCACATCCCCTTCTTGCTCTCTCTGTGTATAATTTCCCTTGGACAATTGTGATTGAATTTTGGGTCCACACACATAATCTCACATTGTTAAGACTCCTAGTTTAATCACTTCTGCAAAAGACTATTTTTTTCCTTATAACATTTACAGATTCCAGGGATTAGGGCCTGATATCTTCCAGTCATTAGTTAGCCTACTATGTATGTCTCTACATTTGTTTAGATTTTGCTTTTTTTCATCAGTGTTGTATAGTTTTCCGTGTACTAGTACGTTTTGTTAAGAGTTACAAATAAGTATATTTTTGAGTGATTTACATGGTATTATATTTTTAATTTTGGTGTTCACATGTTTATTACAGTGTATAGAAATATGATTGGGGACTGGAGAGGTAGCTTAGTAGCACAGTGTGTACTTAGCATATTTGGTAAGCCCAGAGTTTGTTGCCTAGCACTACTGCCCCCCCCCACAAAGAAGAAAAGAATAGAGTTTTGATTGTTTATTTTGTATGCTAAACTCCATTACTAGTTTTAAGAGTTTTCTTGTAGATTCCTTGGCTTTTTTTTTTTTTTTTTTTTTCTTGCCATACTGGGGTTTGAACTCAGGGCCTACACCTTGAGCCAGTCTACCAGCATTTTTTTTTTTTTTTTGTGAAGGGTTTTTCAAGATAGGGTCTCTTGAACTGTTTGCCTGGGCTGGCTTCGAACCATGATCCTCCTGATCTCTGCCTCCTGAATAGCTAGAATTACAAGTGTGAGCCATCAGTACCTGGCCCTTGGGATTTTCTACATGAGCAACTATGTTGTCTGCAAATAGGTATGGTTTTAATTTTTTCCTTTCTAATCTATTTTCTTTGTGTGTGTGTGTGTGTGTACTGGGGTTTGAACTCAGGGCCTTAAGCTTGCTAGGCAAGTACTCTAACACACCTCCAGTCCACACTCCCCCTCTTTTTTTGAGACATGGTCTTAACTGTGTAGCTTAAACTCAAGACCCTCCTACTTCAGCCTCCTAAGTGCTAGGATTATAGGCATGCACCACCATGCCTGGTTGAGTTTATGGTTTTATCATTATGTAATATCTCTTTCTGTTCTGTTTTCTTTGTTCTGAAGTGTCCTTTCTCTGTTATTGATATAGTGACTCTTGGTTTCTTTCCTTAACTGATTTTTGTGTGATACATTTTTTCCATTTTTTTTTTTTTTTTTTTTTGGTGATACGGGACTTGAACTCAGAGTCTCACACTTACTAGGCAGGTGCTCTACCACTTGAGCCACTCCATCAGCCCTCTTTTGCAATAGGGTCTCTCAAACTGTTGGCCAAGGCTGACTTCATACCTCATTCTTCCTGATCTCTGCCTTCTGAGTATCTAGGGTTACAGCATGAGCCACCAGCACCTGGATTGGTGTTATTTATTGATTGTGTCTTTTTCGTTAGATTTCAGATTTTCCTGCTTTGTTTTTCTTTTTCTTTTTTCTTTTTTTATTCCTTTTTTTTTGTTTGTTTTTGAGGTGCTGGGGATTTAACCCAGGGCCTTATTTATGCATATTAAACATGTTCTCTGTCATTAAGCTACACCCTTAGCCCCAATTAATGAGTTTTGTTTGAAAACCAAACATTTTTTGTGTTTTGTTCTGAAACTCTGCATTTTTTTTTTTAAGCTGTTTTTTTCTGACACTGCTCTGGCAGAAGAAGATTGGGTAAAGTGCTATCTTGGTACTGCCAAATGGAGGTAAAAGTCCAGGTTCTCCACTCAGCCCTTGTTTATAATTGGGGAGGGGAGTCCTTTTAACAAGGCAGTGATGAAAAGTTTTGGCTCTGTCTACTAGTCCTCTGACACCATCTCAGCAAGGAAGGGAGAAGCATCGTGTTACTTTTGGGTAGGTGTGGAAGTCCAGGCTCCCATCTAGTTTCCATTGACTGAGGCTAGAGAAGGGTTGTCACACTGTTGTTGACAGCGGAGATGAAAGTCCCAACTGTTTTAACTTTCTCTGACACTACCCCACTGATTATATGTGGAACCTTGTTTTGCCTCATGAGGGTAGAAGTCTAGGCCTTTGCTAGTTGTGAGTCTGGATGGAGCCATAGTTTTCTCTATGGCATTTGGCTGGGGTAGAGCTGTTATTATTTTAAACATTAAATTTGTTTTACTAGGCTGCCTCTTTCTGCTTTGGTGAGAAAAAGCAGATTTTTATTGGGACTTTTTTGTTTTCATCTGTTGACAATTCTGGGTTGCCAGCTTCTTCAGCTCTAATTCTGAAATATATGAAGTAAAAAGAAACTTACTAGGGAACTCATCACTATGTTGTTCATTGAGTTCTGGGGTCCCTACCTAGTCTGTTTCTACCTCTTCACTTTTTAGACACACACACACAAAATCTAGAATTTTAAATTGTATTTAGTCTAAAGCATAGGGAAAACATGTCTACTCCATCTTTCCAGAAGTAGTTCAGTTGTGCTTTTCTTTTATGTTTTGTGTTGTCTAAAGGATTCAGTGAAATCCTTCTTTATCATTGACATCTTAATGTATGTATATTCTTAAAGTTTTGAAGTTCTGTGTTTTTTTTTTTTTTTTACATTTATATTTCTAATTGCCGAGTATTTATTTTGTTTGTGGAGAAGTAAGAGAGGAACCTACTTTTATTTGTTTTCTAAATAGATGGCAACTTGTCCCGATGCCTCTGCAAGCTGGTTTTTGACTCTCATTCTGGTTCCTGTGTATTGGCTTATTGTCTTAAATATAGTAGCTTTATGATAAGTCTTTATGTATGATAGAACATGACTTCCAGCCTCGTTTTGCTTTCTTAGGGTTTTGGTTCTGTTTCTTGAATTTTAACTCAAATATAAAATAAAAACAGGAATAGCAAAAACAAACAAAAAAACCCCTCAAAGCTGTTGAAATAGGCATTTACTTCAGAGTTTGCCTCCCATTTCAGTGGTCTTATTTTCTTCAGAAGTTCTGGATTTATTTACTTTTCATTACCCAGGTCAAAATAATGTCATGTGCTCCCCAAGTACCCCAGCATGGACTCAGAGTAGGGCTTAATCTTTTTTCCAGAATGAGAAATTGCTCATGATGGCGTGGTTACCTGTGAGCCTCCGTTAAGTCCCACAAAGCATCTGTGTGGCCTCCACCCTAGGTGGAGCAGGTCCTGAACTGTTTGAAGCCAGTAGGGGAGTGGAGGACAATCTGCAGGTTTCTTATTACTCTGCTAGAGTTAGAGGGCAAGAGAGGCCAAATAAGTTTTGCTCACTAGTATGGGGTTTGCAAATAAGTATTTAATAAACAAGTCCCATGATTAATGCTTGGGGTGTGAAGAGTAGGCAGTTGCCACATTTCTCTGTGCAGATACTTGTGTTTTTAGTCCTTTCAAAAGAATGTTTTTAATCCTTATTAATTGTTACATTTGCCACTTGGCTTTATCTTTCCATATTCATGCACATATTTCTCTCCCCCACCCCCAGCCATTTCAAAGTGAGTTTGTACAGTGTTTGATAATTCATCCTCAAACACTTCAAAATATAACTCAGAAAATTTAGGATAATAGAATTACACTGTCACCATATCTAAGGAAATTAACAGTAAATCTAATCTGTAGCCAACATGCAAATTCCCCAGTTATCCCTGGGTTGTTTTTTTTTTTTCCCCCTTTTTTGGTGGCATTGGTGTTTGAACTCAGGGCCTCATGATTGCTAGGCAGGTGCTCTTACCACTTGAGATCTGGCAGTTTTTTTTTGTGATGGGTTTTTGCAAGATAGGATCTCAAAAACTATTTGCTGGGAACTGGCTTTGAACTCTAATCCTCCTGATCACTGCTTCCTGAGTAGCTAGGATTTTGATATAAGCACCTGGTGACCAACTGTGTTACTTTTGAGATAGGGTCTTGCTTTTTTTTTCTCCCACTTTTAGTTAGGGTCTTGCTTTATGCCTTGGCTGGCCTGGATTGCCATTCTCTATTTGCGCTTCCCTGCATAGCTGGGATGATGCACGCCACTATTGCCCAGCCGCCCAGCCATTGGTTTTGATGGGGTTTCATGAACTTTTTGCCCTGGCTGGCCTTGAACCTCGATCCTCCTGATCTCTGCATCTTGAGTAGCTGGGATCACAGGCTTGAGCCACCACACCTGCCTTGTGTGTTTTTTTGTTTGTTTTCTCTTGTTTTTAAATTAATCGAGGATCCAGTCAAGACCATTTGGTTATTATCTCTACATCTAGATTAGTTACATTTAAGGATGTTAGCATTTGGAAAGTCTACACCAGTTGTCTTGTAGAAGGTCCCACATTCTACATTTGTCTGCTTGTTTATCAGGTCCCCATATTTCCTATAAATTGGAAGTTGAATCTAGAGTAGCACTTCCCAAAAGACATATAATGTGAGCCACAGGTGTCATTTAAATCTTCCTGATCAACATACATAAAATAAACCAATGAAATTAATTCAATAATGTTTTATCTAATATATTTTAAATTATTTACTATAATTTGCTTAATGTATTTTATTTAATAATTTTTGATTATATCCCAAACATTTTGGTTTCAATATGTAATCAATATCCATCAATGAGGTATTTTACATTCCTTTTTTTTTTATACAAAGTTTTCATAATCCAGTGTTACTTTACACTTAATGGATCAGCCACATTTCTATTGCTAAGTTAGCTACATGTAGCTGGAGAGTACATGGGTGAGGGGAGACATTCTTGGCAGAACCATTGGGGGATAGTGCAAGACCTTGAAACTGTGGGCATTGCTGAAGTCTGAATCTGTTCTTTTTCTTTTTCAGGCTTTGGGTGCTCTGGGATGGAGCAGGTGTGCAGAGGGTGAGGACCCAGCTCTGGAACCATATCACTTGCTTCCTTCTGTAGCAAGACTGTTGGCTTGAGGAAACTCAGGTCTGGGATGAGGATGTCTGTCAGCCTCCTGCTGTTGCTCCCCCTTTGGGGGAGGACCTTTTTCCTCCTACTCTTCCTGGCCAGGGCTCAGTCCCGCTGGCCCAGTGAACCCTCGGAGGCCGTCAGGGACTGGGAGAACCAGCTGGAGGCATCCATGCACTCAGTACTTTCGGACCTACATGAAGCAGTTCCTACGGTGGTTGGCATTCCTGATGGTACGGCTGTTGTTGGGCGCTCATTTCGAGTGACCATTCCAACAGACTTAATTGCCTCCAGTGGAGAAATTATCAAGGTAAGCCTAGATACTAAATGTGACTGAGGAAAAGTTCTTTCTTTTTTTTTTTTAATTTTTAATTATTTATTCATATGTCTATACATTGTTTGGGCCAATTCTCCCCCTCTGCTTTAGTTTTGATGTTTTTTTCTTTCTCAATTCTAAGCTTTAGTAGTTCTGGATTGCTCCCATTTTGAGGGTGTTACTAAGAAAAAGCCTTTCCTCTGTACTCTGGAAAGTTTCTTGGTTGTTGATTTAGTGATTTGGTGGAAGGGCCTGTCATGTGTATAAGAAAGGATTACCTTTCGTAAACTTGTCTATAATAACCCCAAAATATAGAACTTTTAAATGCTTTGAACTTATTTTTAAAATGAAGATATAGCTGAGGGGATGGCTTAGTGATAGAATACTTACCTAGCATGCTTGAGGATCTGGGTTCAATCTCCAGCACTGCAAAAAATAAATGAATATAAATTTAAAAAATAAGATATAAATAAATTTGAGAACTCTGCTCTAATTTGGTGATTTATTTATACTAATGTATTTAATCACTTAAGAACCAAAATTAGAGCCCAAACTTTAGCCTTGGCCCTTTTGGGAAAGCAATCCAGAGAACAAGGGATCTGAGACCTATGTATAGAATAGGGTCTTGACTGACCCATGATAGAAATTGGGTGAAATAGGAAGGAAGCCTTTGTTTGAAAAACCAGTATCCTTCTGGGTTTATTGAACCTTGGAACTTCTGCTCAATCCTGAGTGAGTTTTTATGGTGGACAAGTAGGTGGGATGTATCTCTGAAGTTACAAACATCTATCTCTTAGAGCAGAGGTTAGTACACTTTTTCTTACAGGGATAGATAGTAAATTGTTTAGGCTGTGCACATGGTTTCTGTTAAACTCTTCAAATCACCAATATAGTATAAAAGCAGGTTTAGAGAATATATAAATGAATGGGCATGACTGTATTCCAGTAAAACTTAACGTATGGATACTGAAAATGAAATTTGAATTCCATGTAATTTTCATGTTGAGAAATAGTGTTCTTTTATTTTTTTCTCCCCAGTCATTTGAAAGGACAAAAACCGCACCACACAAAAATGACTACACCATTCTTTACCTAGAGATGTAGCTTGGAAATGATCTAAAAATATTTGAAGATCTATGCTTTGTTATGTCTTATATCTGATCTGCAGTTAGACTTCTGCATATATTCTTATTGTTTATCATGTTTAATCCACCAAAACTAAGTAGTTTAAAAAGTGAGATGTTTTGCTCAAAATTTTCTGGGAGTCTCATTTCTGTTTTCATGGCACTTGCTAGAGTGGCTTATCTGGGGCTAGAGGATTCATGTCTAAGGTGTGTCCTTCATCATTTGCAAGTTTCTGCTGCCTTTTGGCAAGGGGCTTAGTTGGGGCTGTGGGTCAGGATTCTGGGTTCCTGTCCATGTAGACTTCTCCATGGACTTCTTGAGTTTCCTCATAAGCATGACAGCTGAGTTTTAAGACTGGGTATTCCAGGAAACAGAAAGTGAAGTCATTAGTCTCTTAAGGTCTAGGTTTGAAAACTTGTACAGCAACAGTTTCATTGTACTCCTTGGCTGAAGCACCATACAGGTTCTGGTGGTCTTTATACCAACTTGCCCCTTTCTGACACATCAGTCCCTGCCATCTAGGTTAGAAAACTCCTTGCCAGTCAGTATATAGAGGTGAATCTTATGCCACTTTCCCTTAAATCTTGGTGTACCTACTTTGCCCGCACCCTGCTTGTGTTGGTGGCCATACTTCTGAAGGTGGCCATACTTCTGAAGATCCTGACCCTTGTAGCAGCTCAGTTCCATAGAATTCTTTGTAGTTTCAAGTGTTTTCAGAAGGTTTCCATGTAATCTTCCTAATACCCCAGCAAACCAGATGCTAGTCTATTAGATAAAGAGTGGTGAAAGGAGGGTACATTTCTTGCCCAACTTCTGGTTTGAGGCCAACTGAACTACACAGACCATTTTTGTTTTTTTGGTGGGCCTTGGGTTTGAACTCAGGGCTTTGTGCTTGCAAAGCAGATATTCTACCACATCAGCCACAATTCTAGCCCATTTTGCTTTAATTATTTTGGAGATGGGGTGTCATGAACTATTTCCCCAGGTTTGCCTCACACCACGATCCTCCCAATCTCAGCCTTCCAAGGAGCTAGGATTATAGGCATTAGCCACTGGTGCTGGAACCCTGTTTTTTTAATCTCTCTTTGCAATTCTTGTTTTTTGTTAGTCTGCTTGTTTGCCTCATGTTACATAGAAGACCCTCAAATGTTTATGGACTGATAGGGGACAGTAAGGCCCCTTTAGCACCTACAAGCTTGTTTTGGATTATCAAAGCCTGCCTGACTGTACCTAAGTAGATATGCCAGCCTCTGTCAGGGACAGCAAGAGACTAAGTTTGTCTGCTAATAACCATCATTGTCCTGTGGCCTTGCACAGTTTCTTGACTCAGGGCCCTATGACATGCACTTTCAGACTTCACTTATTGTGGTATTTTTACATTGGGAAGTATTCCCTTTCCACCCCCTGAATTTAGCCATGTGTTTATTGATCTATTATTAGTTTAGACACACTGTTTCAGTTAGTGAATGGTTTATAATTTATTGCTGTCCTTAATTATTGTGGTATTCAAATTATATCAGATTTGGTGATCGAGAGCTGCTTAATTTGGTTTCTTTGTTCTTGTGACGTGCTCCTCTCAATTTTTTGAGTGTTTCTTTCTCCTCCTTTCTTTATTCCTTTTTCTCTCTCCCCTAAGTTGAAATTTTGTAGTTACTATCTTTAGGATTGTCACTTGTTTTATTTTTTTCTCCTTTCTTCCTGATCAGTAATTATCTCTAATCTAAGTAACCTATTCTACACAGCAGGTAGAAAAGAAAAGAAGCTGACCAACTAGGCATGGGAGAAATTACATAAACTCTCTGGGAAAATATGACATCTAGAAAAACATTAAAGCATCCAAAAGATAACTGTCTCCAGAGTGTGACACTAATACTGACAGCTAATCATTTGAGACTGCATGCCAACTTAAAAGCACAAAATTACATTATCTTCTTTTATATACTCTTATTAAACCTACTGATTCACTTAGTAAGTCATTATGTATACAAAAGCAACATAACTTCCAGGATTCTTAATAATTTTTAATATATTTAGCTTAGGGACCCAAGATTCTGAACATGCCATCAAAAAAAATTGCAGTCCGTTCTGCTTGAAGTAGTTTCAGGGGACGAGGCAGTCCACACCTTCTAAACAGGAATGGTAAGATCTCAGGACAACTTTATTTTAGGCTGAGGTTTGAAATGTCTTTCACTTAGAGCTCCAAACCTGTCCCATTTTTGCTTATTCCTAGGCCACTTCAGGCCACATCACAGCAATAGCCAGCAGCCCATGTGGAGGAGCCATGCCCTCTGAGCACCTCTATGGCAACCAGCCTGCTGCCTAGGTAATCCTGCATGAGCCAGTCGAAGGTCAGGCCTAGTACTTCCCCTTAGGCTGGTCAGGGAGCGGTGTCTTTGCATCCCATGAAATGACTGGGCTGCCCCTGTAGAGTACCCCACAGATGTCTCATTTTAGTAGAGCCTACAAGGGCGGCCTTTTCGTCTCTTGTTTGCCTTAACCTCCTTGCCTGCAGACAATGTGGTCTTTCCGTCAGCCCAAGATGTTGGCAGTCTGGGAGCAGCCCTTCCTGGGACTGTGCTCTCAGCTATTGGCATGGGCCCCTTAATTGTTCCCTCAAGAACAATGGGTACTCTTTTTGGCCAGGAAGAGGAGTTCATGAAAGGAGCATTTCTTTGGATGCTTGAGAGCTTTGTGGCAATTCCGCCTGTGTGAGATGAACTGCAGTTTCTTCTTGCCTCTAGTGGGTGTTCCCTGGTTCTGAATGGATTCCTTGTTGAGAGCATGGCACACCGGGAAATGCGAGTTGGCGAAGGAAGGCATCTTTGGGAGTGGGCTATCAGAACAGCATTTGCCCAGACTCATCAACTCAAATATTTACTGAAAATATAGGCTTCTGTATTTTAAAAAAAGTTACTGACAAAAGCTGAAAGAGAATATGACAAAGTGAAAATAGATGATGTCAGGGCTTGGTACGGAAAGACTGATTCTAGGGATTTTATAAGTTGCTGTAACTATGTTTAGTGGAAAGATTAATTTTGTTCTTAGGTGAGAACAGTTATAACATAAGATGAAGTGTTTCATAGCTTAGACTAGAAGGGCACTGAATGTTCTGGAGAAGTGTGTTCAGAATAATCCTTTGGCCTTGGTCTTTGTGGTAGAAGTCAAGTGTAGGTTGATACTGTATGTATAGTATCAGAACCAGTGATTATCTCTCATGGATGTGGTTCTGCTTTACTTGGCAAAGCAACAGCCCCTTGCACCTTTTTCTACCATGCTTCTTCACCTCATATGGGGACAAAGGCTTATCTCTGTGACTTTAAGCTAGACCAGTACTATCTCTCTAAGAGCCCAGCCAAGTGACTGCTATACTTATCATTTGCAGAAGGATCTAGAGCAGATTTGGCTCATTGTTGTAGGCCGTGGCATAGACACAGGATAAACCTGAGTGTGAGTAATCACTAAAGCTCAGACTCCTTCAGAGGTTTCCTTGAGCAGAGAAACCACTATCTGCTCTGAGGGAATCTTGACCACCTCATTTGGGAGTCTCTCCAGGCTGCTGTATATGGTCCCTTGTCATAGATGGCTGCAGGTTGACCCAGCTCTGCAGCTTGGAAGAGGGGAGAGGGAACCGAAGGGTCAGGAACCAGTGACCAGATCTGAGGAAAGGTAAGGACCTTGCTAGGATAGACTTAACAAGTTCAAACAGTGGGATATCACAAGACAGCAGTTTGTGCCACTTTGATAGGGACCACTGAAACACCCCATGCCCCCTCCCCAGCACATCTGTAGTGGGACACAAGGAAAGGCCTAGCTTGTACCCCAGGAGCTGATATGTCTAGAGGCATTAGAAGGTGCCACAGAGGCCTAAA